GTGGTATCGAAACTACGCAGACAGAAGAGAAAGTGGAAATCCCACTTTTGAAGCTGGGTTAGCGAGAACATGAGCTATGCGTAAAGTTCGTCTTACCGAAGAAGCCAACTGGTATTTCATTTGAGAGCACAATTAAGAAATTGATGGCTTTTTCAGTTTCTCTAAGTCACTATTCAACAGGCATTATGAGTGCTCGAAGGTATAAAGGCAGTCTCATGAAGAATATGTGGCATAGCTGGTCAGCTAGATGAAGCCTATCATTAAGCCGACCTAAAGAGGGCCACGATCCAGCAGATCAAGGTCTTTCTTTTTATCAAAGCTTTGAGGCTTCCAGAGGACGCCGGCGCACGCACGTGGCTACTTGCCCAGCTAGATCAGCGAACCGAGATGACAATGCAAAAACTAGCAGAAGAGTGCGAATCATGAATATCAAGCGCGACACTAGGCTGGTCGGCGACACAAACAGTCAGCCAGTACGTGTGTGACACAAAAGCCAGCAAACTAAGAGAGAACTAGAGTTTCCCAAGGAAGCTAAAAACGGCCTATTAGCAGTATGGCGAATGGCCTTTTGTGTCCGATAGCCCTTATCGCACCAGACGGCGTGACATGTGTTCCCGGCTCAGTCGTAAAGCGATATTGTCGCGCCAAACAGACGAGTCCACGAAAGAAATGCAATGCGGTAGCCCGATAGGATTTATATGTGTTCAGTTCTGAGCGTGGAAGGTATCTGATGGTTAGCATTGATGGTGAACCCACCACATTACAGTTCGACACGGCGTCAGACCTCGCGATAATTACTACAAGCATGTGGTAGGCCCTTGGGTCGCCAGAACTGAAGCCAGTCTTCGTCCGTGCTTAGGCATCAAATAATATGCAAATGCAGTTTGATGGTGTTTTCCAGGCAACTATCGTTTTCGAGGACAAGGCCTGCTTGCCAGACACTTACGTATCAAGTCTGAAACCGATCGGCCTGGCAACAAGACTATCTCCCAATTGGTTCTCTGGGGTTGGCCGTTCCAGGGGATATGTTGTGCCGTTAACATTATGGGAGAGGACCTGAAGAGTAAGCATGCCGAACGAACGGTCTTCGGCTCACCGACACCGTGGTACCGGCCGATATTTATCTTTACTGATTGGCCGCTGCTGGGTGAAGCTCCGGCGCATGCACTTCGGCTGTGGTTTTCCTGGTGGACACCTGCTACAATTGTTTGCCGAACTGCCTGTACGTTCTTCCCCTCAATAAAGTTGGGCCATCTAACTGACTTCCATGCCTTGTGATTTGCCGACTATCGCACTCCGACACGGCGTTTTAGATATTCTATTTGTTATGCATATTCCAGTTCTGTCCTTATTATATTTTGTTTAAGTCAACTTCTACTAACTCTAAGGACAATGGTGCTAAAAACCGTGTAACCAGTCAGTGGAGAAATATTGCCCGCCTCTTGCCTTTTCTGTCTACGGGTGTCGGTGACATCAATGGACCAATGATACGGCAGTTAAGTCTGACTTAATACGACCTATGTGTTAGTGTGGGATGGGGATACCGGGCATTGTTACTGACTAAAGGGGGTTTCCATCGTTAGTGCGGGTTAACGTAAGACACTGAAATTGTGTACGTTTCTCCGAGTCAAGGGGCGCCATTTCGCGAACACGGCGCCGGTCTCACCGGTATAGATAAGAAAACACCGGTTCCTACAGAAGTCATAGCAAGAATTCTTTTTGATAGGTCGTTGACATCCATAGTGCGGCTTTGGGAGATATCCCCTTAAATCCAAATGGAAGCGGTGGTGGATAGTTGACAACATTCACCATGAGGTAGTATCTCAACGGTGTATCATCTTCGATTAGTTTCCAAACAGGTGTTCCCTCACGCCTTGAAGTGGTATGGCCTCAAAGTTCAATAACAGTTATTTGCAACATCCACGAACCTGCCTATCTAGCAGCGCGAGTCGACTGCGGACCGTCTTACTCGCGTTCCTGCCGCCTGTTACAATACCAGTTAGCTGGCGGAAGGGCTGGCGGGTAAGCCCAGTCTTTTCCATGCTATCGTTCTCTCGGGCTTACGGTCAACAGTTGTGGAAGCTATGGGCTACAGATGAGCACAGTCTAAAGCCCGTTGAAAGGACATGGTCAGCTGGAAATTTTTTATCTATACTTTAAAAATAAAACGAAATTCTCTCGCCCTTCCTCGACTGCGCAAGCAAGACACCAAATCATCATAATTACTGCTCTTAAGACCAAAATTCAAGTCAATGATTCCACGTTTGACCAAAATTCAAGTCAATGATTCCACGTTTGAGACTAAAGCATATAATCACCACGTCCGAGACCAAGTTAACTGGCAAGTAAGATACTCCAAGAGTCAACCAACAGTCATAATCGAATTTGTGACCTAGTACCCAACTAGTAGTTGACATGACACACGTCGCAAACGACCGAAATCTGGACTATCGTCCACAGGTTGCAGAATATTTGTGAAAGATGGAGTACCTGCAAAATGGCTTCTAAGCATTGTAATGGTATAGAGACGACGGCTTAGATTCACCTTCAGAGGGAGTAACGTTTATGATGATGCTATTGACGGATCACCGTGGTGGCCACAACCATTATCGCCACTTTCTGTCACTGACTTCAACCACACAAAAATCATCATGTTATCCTGTGGGTCGCATACCGGGTCCGTGAGATACCCTCTTTTAGATACTTTCAATAAGGTCAATGGCAACGAAAACTTCGAAATGTTTTCTAGAGGGCACGAGCACAACGTCCGGATTTACTGGAGGCGTCCAAATGTGGAAATTTGCTTGTGACTGCACGCATCATGAGTGGTCTGACCGGCTCCATGCTACAGACTAACATCCTCTATTACAATCAACCAATGGCAAACCCCAAAAAAGTTGAGCCAACTGCCACACCGGCTATGAAGACCAATGAGTCAGGAATGCGTTCGACGCTTGATTCCGCCGGATCTATCCAGGTCTTCGGTTAGCCACTTCGACGCCGACGCCAACAAGGGTCCGGTTCGAGAGTGGGTATTTCGAACGATTCCGTCTTCAGACCGACACGGCGCTAATTCCACACATCACAATCGGCGAGTTGCGTTCCTGGAGATTGACTAGGCACGCGGAGGCAAGTTCGGATTGGGACGTGGGCATAACCGACCGGTTTTTTCCATTCGTTGTATATCTTCTGAGTGTACGGGTCATCCCCCACTTCCGCATGGAAGGATAATCTTAACTAAGGCCTTGCACACGCGCTGACCGGTACTCAGATTAAATGCACGCGCGTTCGGTTGATCTTATCGTTGAGTCCACTTCAAGTTTGTCCGTTTGACAGGATAATCGACGCAACATAGCAGAAGCCATCCAGCAACCTGAGAACTTTGCCGTCTACTGCCATCTGACTCGTAGGTTCAGCTACGAAACTCGGTCCAATCATTGCTGCCTTGAAAAGGTTTACTCGGAGGCCGACTTCAGCCACCCTCGCGTTTCAGTCAGTGCATTACACTTCCATGGTCGCTTGCTAGCTTGACATTATCAGCGTATTTAAAGTCAGTTATACAAGAAGCGCGACCTACCCCAACATCAAGATGGTCCGCCAGCGCCTACTGAAGAACCCAGTCCGTAATGTAAGTGGACAGCATTTTTGGGAGGACCCTGACGAACGCCAGGAGTTACATCAAGGAAATGACTCCCCGCGTTATTCACACAGACAGTGAGCTCGAGTAAATACGAATAACCTTGACGGCATGTCATCATGAAGCATAATCGATAGCGGAGATTCCTGACGGACAGTCAAAGGCGGATACGAAACTCACGAAAGTAGGCCGCTAGTGACTGCGATGATGCTCAAGGGATCAGCAGAACGAGAAGTACTGACTAACAAATCCCCAGCCAGACAATGCCCTGATTATTTCTTCCCAGTACAGGCGAAGACCTAACGGCAATGTCAAGGAGGCTTGCGCCACGGTAGCTCCAGCGTGGCGCCCTACTGCCCTTCCGAAAGATCGGTTTAGTAATAGTGTTACTTAAGTGTGTGGGTATCGCGCTTCCTCGAGAGTTAGAAGAATGTGCAAATGGCCGGCAGCCACCACGGAAGAGCACTTGTAGCTCGCTGTTGCGATGTAGTACCAACCAGATTCTCTATCGTTCTTCAGTTAGCCCATCACCTTAATGATCTCCAAGGTACTGTGGACCGCAAAAAAAAACAATTGTACCCGGGGTATGAGAACATTTGAAAGATGAGCGGTAGCTGAAGGGGCAGAGTCTACAAAGCCCAGAATCCGAAAGAAACTGCCGTTCCCACCGGATTATCATCCCGACGTGGACGTTGCCGCCGTATCTTGGCTGTTGCTGATGGTTGAGGCAGATGGATTAATGGGCCGATTATCTTCAAACACCAGTACAGCTTCCTGGAACAACCGTTAGCTAATGTACGCTTTAGATCTCTAGCAACTCTGATCCATTGTAGTTTTGCCGTATGGCTCATGCTGGTAAATAACGCAGGTCCCTAAATGTCGGATAGAAAAAGAGATCAGTAGTTCGAACAACTGTATCACTGCATAAGACCAGTGGCTGCAACAGCACCTGTTGTGGTCTGCCACCTCAAGTGCAGCAGAACTCTGCAACGCATGAGGATTTCGCAAGGAATGCAGAAAAACCTGCGAACTGCCCAGGGAACTTCGACTGATTCCGGCTAACAGATGGGAAGTCAGAGTATGAAAAGAAGTCATGGAGAGGCTGTATATGGATGCCAGCGATCCTTATCAGGTTTGAGATGTGACGCGGTCCATTCGAGACAATTAAGAAGACTACAGCTTATTTGCTGACGTGGTGAGATTTCATCGAAAATCTACGTTACTCTTTGGCCATCTGCCTCATCCGATTCCGGTCGGAACATACGCTGTTCAACGTACTTCAGAGAAGATAAAGAATGGCAGGAAAAGAAGTCTATTTATGTACATGAAAATCAAAGTGACCAACAGGTGTGGCGATAACCACTCATTTTCGAGGAGTTTTCTTAGGTCTTCGGCCCATTCCGTAATTAATTGGAGTATCGTCGGTCAGTGAAACTATTTTCAGGCCAGACAGAACCATACCTGAGAGAGTAGACTGAGGCGGATGAAGCAGACAGAAAACAAAGTGCTTACCACTCGATTCACACCAAGTCCACGCAGTTTAACGCGAACAGCAGAGATCCCTAACTTTTGCGCTTTAAGTCCGATGGAAATGCCCACAGTCTGGGCTGCGACAGTGGTCTGTTTGCGGGCGTTCCTAAAACCTTCAGTTCCGCAAGTAGTACCACACAGACATCGTCCATTACAATCTGTGAGGGATATTTTTGTGTTGTTCCTTGTGGCGTATACATGCACAATTGGCAATTCGTGAAACGCCTGTGTACCGTAAATAGCGTTTAAACCCTTTTCATCGACAATGCTTTGGCCAGCTCTGAATTCAAATGAGTTTTGTTCGAAATAGTCAAATCTACACTTTAAGGGTGCACGAGTTGTCCACAGTGTTGTGCTGGGCATTCTCGGTAGACTCGGAAATCGAAGACTGCAGCCTGCACGAAAACCATGAAGCTGGGAATTGACTTCTCCACAAACACGCGGACCTGAGGATGTGTCCAAATTTTGATGAAACAGCCTGCATGTAAGTGAAAACTAGAGTTGAGGACTTAGCAAAAGCATTCAGATAATGTTGAATCACAGAAAAGTGGTGAAATGTTCACGCACTTCTCTCAGATTTCGCTTCATGCTCATCATTATGCTCGGTTCGATTGTTGTCAATCGTATTTTCGTCAAGGGAGAAGTTAAAATAATTAAGAAGTCACGGGAAATTGGTGAGATAGATTTATTTGCTGTCAAACATTTAAGACAGTTGTGTCTGCTATTCCTTCTCGAGGAAAATAAATGCAAAGAGCAGCAGTCCTTTGGAACGCAGTCGCAGGTTGGTCGTGTTGTTCCAGCTGTTGGCTAGCTTTCTCGAGTGGGTCATGTATCCGTTATGTTGGCGGCAATGATTTGGCTGTGCTGAGCGCTAATTACTTCTGCACTTAGTAATTACGTCTATGTTAGCATTGACTTCTCCATAGGACCGAACAATCATTGCACCCACGCATCCTGTCATTCACGGGTGTGCACTAATTTGTGTAAACAGCGGTTGACAATACGTTACAAAACCGCGTTGCATTTAGAACTGATGCAAAGTAAGATATGAACTCACGGACTAGCAAATGGGGACTTATGATGGTAAAAGAAGTTCGATATTCAAACTAAAAAATGACCTATGAGTGAACCGTTAACTCATAGAAGAAATGCACTGGCATAAGCATGAGAAATTGTTCATTGACACTTGAAATTGTTGCACCAGGTAAGGCTGTAATCATGCCTGATATAGCCAGTCCTGATGATGTCGCGAACTGTACCTCCCCATGCTTATTTATTGACAAAGTCTCGAGAAAAGCAAGACCGAGAAGAGTTGACCCATTCCGCATGCTTGTATTAGCCAGCAGGCACTAAGTGCCTGAAAATAAGATCATCAAAGAGGGGCCAGCCTGCAACCCTAATTTTCGACTGTCCAGTACGTCGACGGATGACAAAAAAACGAAATTGTTATCAGCGAAAGTTAACCGCCAGATAAGCAGGCTCTTGAATTCGCGAAATAAGCTGCTACAGGCAATCGGCGACTGCGCTATCAAAAGGGAAATATCTGGCAGGATGTGGTGTCTACGAGGCAATTCCATTGCCATTACCTAGCCGGAGATAGTTGCAGAAAGTTTGTCAATTTCGCCGCGAGGATGACTTAAGACGTGAAATGAAGCCTCGGAGTCGGACGTCTGGCCCCGTGGTCGATATAATTGAACTTCACAGGGGGTCTGCTACTGATGGACTACAGTGGAAAACTATCGCGAAATTGCAGCACGAAATAGACTGACTTCGTCACGAGGAACACTGTTAAAAGACAGAACAATCAGACAGAACCAAAAACAGATACTTGCTATGTGCCCCCACTCCTAAACAGTGAACCTTGTAATCCGTAAAATCGTGCTAACAGGAAATTTTGTGATAGGTTTCCTCGGTGGTCAACAGCTCAGAAGTGTTCATTTTAAATGGGGTAAGTAAGGATGACGCTGCTGATGAGGTTAACACGGTTCACCTACTCTCTGAGAAGAATCCTCTTCTACAAGTCTGTGGTGGACACTTTGCTCCAGCAAGGTTCGGCAAGTTGAGAAACTGGGTCAAAATGGCGTGCTGAGTTTTTGTCAGATGTTGTCGTAAAAGCACTACTAGTAGTATATGCCAACATAAATCCCCACCGAGTTTAGAAATGATATCGAAGCAGTGCGTGCTAAGCACTGTTCGCCTTGATGATGACACGATTATGAGATCAGTAGCGTATTGTGTCCATCGTTAGAGTCGAAGTCGGCTGGACCCACCCAAAAACTATATTCCATGGAAGATTTACGTCAAAGTGGTGAACACCAGCGTAATCTCTAAAGGCCGTCCTCATGGAGCTCCATAAATGTTTGCGTCTGTCTGACCAACTTTCGTCACGACAGGCAACCTCTTATCCATTATATCTTCCCGGAATCCTGTTCCCCCAACTCCCGACCACCTGTAGTTTCCGAGCCCTGTTCATCAAGAAGTTCAGCCTATGCCATCAGGAACGCAGAGGTAAAAAAAAACCTAGTTGGGCCCTGGGCAACAAGGACAGAAAGGTCATATTTCAGCTGAAAAAGAAGATGAAGGTCAGAACAAGAGGTCGACGAATCCTAACAAACAAAACTAGGGGGAGTCGGGGATGACAATGAAAAAAAGGGGGGATGCAGGCAGAGCAGACAACATTGACGATAAGTTAGCGAGAGGGTAAAGACGCAGACCAGGGCTAGCGAACGCAACATGAAGGCCTATCAGCTATCTTTCGTCTAATATCTTCGTTAACACGCTTGGTACAAGTACGCAAGTACAAAACAACCACCTGTCCGCCAACATCGGGATGCAGGGGACTACGGCTCATTACATCCCGGCTTCGCATGTCTACTTAGGATTATCATCCGCACGCAATGAATAACTTTCGTTCTATTCATTCGACTATTCAAAATTGGAGTTATGCATTAATATCAGCCGTGTCCATGGAAATCCTAAACAAATAAGCTTAGAAAAGGCATAAAACAATTTTCACACAAAAATGGGATGGCAGGTACGCGCAGTGCGGCAAAATGTGAAAAAATCAGCAACGTTTTATAACAGGTAAGACAGAAGGCTGTGTCAAGCGAAGCTACATCAGAAAATGCAGGAAAACCTCAGGACGAAATCACAGTGTCCGAAATGAAAGTGGACAAACAAAGAGTCAAAACAAGTTGAGCAAGTCAAAAACCTGGGGGCAGTCGAGAAAGTCTAGGAGCAGCTCAAAAGCACTTCGGGTGGATCATCCATATAGGCAACATCTGGCACAGATCACTGAGGAAACATACTGTGGATTAGCAGACAGGTCATTTTTAAAGCTTCTAGTCTTACCAAAGACATTGTCTGCTAGAACATAGGAATGCAGTTTTTCCACTGTGCCGAGGTCAATGAGCGGGGCGTAGATATCATCATACCTATCGAGCCTTTAGCTCAGGATGCCAATTGCATGAGGAGGATCCTGAGCCAGGACCGGCAGCAACTAATTTAGGTTAGCCGGGATACGAAAGTCAACATCTCTAAGGAGAATTGGTTGCGTTATTTTGTAAGCTGCACATGCGATGTTGACAGGGGGAATATTTACAATCAGATTTTAAAAACCTTTTGGAAGGGAGTGGTCAAATTTGTTCTCCGGTCATTTGGGACATCACTATATGACTAGCGCTGGACACATCGCACACTTGGTGTATGGAATTCAAGCCGACAAATGTGTGGTAATGGACGTAATGTCATCAAGACGCAGAATAGATGCGCCTTCACGGCAGAACCTTTTAGGGAATCAACAAATCGAAACCGTAAAAGAGATCTTAAAGCATTCGTTAAGGATGATTTAAGCGTAACAACGCTGTGCTCCAAAGTCGCAGCGCAGGCAATGTCAACTATGAGTGCGATATGCAGAACATTTATAAACCTGGATGCGGATACCCCCGAGAAGGTATATGGGGCGTTTGTGCTGTTGCATCTGGAATATGAGGTTCAGGCTTGGCGGTCGTGGCTTCGGAAAGACAGGAATTCTTAAAGGTGTACAACGTGTTACAAAGGTTGCTCTTAAACTCAAAAAATTGACGTACAAGTAGCGGTTAGCCAGCTTAAACCTCTACTGCATCCAGTTCAGGCAGGACAGAGGTGGCCTTATAAAAACGTCTCAGTTCCTAAGGGGACTTGATCTTGGTGTGGGTTAGGAAAATCTTTTCGAAACGGCACCGAAGACGAATCTCGGACGGCACGATAGCCAACTTAGAAAGGGACTGTGCCGCACCAATTAACGCTTGTTATTTTAGATAATCATTCGTCAGTGGAATCCTTTATCGACTTACGTCGTGCATGCCCCCACTGTGACTGTGCTTCAGAAGCGTATGGATTCTCACCCGCTAAAGATCAGTCATAACTCCACAAACCCCACCTATTGACATCCCAACTATCAACATGCTGCTGTCTTGATTTCAATAAGCCATTTTGTTTACGGTAACTCGGGCACTACCGAACAAAGTGCGCGCAAACGCAGTGTGCTCGTTTCCGCATCTCAGATTATCCCCCTTTTTAACACTCTGGCTTCACTATCAGTCTTATGCATCTTGCATATCAGGATTACCTGTAAATACTTGCAGATCCACTGCTTTTTATGCAGGACTGTATGGTTTTCATGAGCTTTTATCATTTACTCCAAATACACCGACTGAAGCTAGGAAAAAGAGGATGTATGTAATTGGGTTCCGATGCCTTGTTCGGCTCCAATGACGGCAGATGTCTAAGTACTCCAGTTGGCATAGGTGCTAAGTTCTATCATTCTCAGCATGAAGTCAAGTGAGCACATTTCACTGTACAAACGAAAACTTCGACAGAACTGCTCGGCTAGATTGGGGACTGTCTCCCTGTCGGCACCCGTGGAAGCCTCGTCACCCTTCAGCGGCACCGTTAAGCACTCATTTTGCCTCTGCCTATGGAACATTTAGAAGTATCGCCTAAGCTGCTCCCTAGCTACCTCAATCAGATATTTTCGGCAATCCACAGAGCAGGATTTGCATGAAATTAAATCGGACAGAAAGTCTGATGTTCTGTGTTTAACACAGACTGTCTCACGCCTGCATGGAACTTTATCCTACGAGTCCGGTATGTGCTAGTGTTTCCTAAGCAGTGTGCCTATCTTCGTAATATCTAGAGCTTCAATGGAAGATAGGTTAGTCTTAAAGAACAATAATGCAGCTTTCATGTGGATATTTATTTCCGAGTTCGGAGATAACTAACGCAGGTTAAGAGCTCTAGAGGTAAGAGGATAGTTCTACAAAATTGGATACAGTGAAACATTAACTAGACAAGTATTAAGACAAAAGTTAGGACTGAAAGAGTGTCTCTCCCGGAGCGTACGCACCGTTCTCCATAAACGGCAGAGTGCTCATTGATGCAAGGACTAAATCTAGACAAAGACGTTTGGTCCTAGTAAAACGTTAATTGCTTGATGGCCGGCAT